TCTTAAACTAATTTTCCACAACAGGTAAGTCCAAGGATGGTGGTAAGAAGAACATATCCTAAGGTTCCCATTTCTCTGTGGGACAAGGGTTCAAGACTGCATCTCAGAGAGGCTGGTCAAAGGATGGAACTCTAAAACTGGTCTCTACTTAACCTCTGCCCACTGTTTCTGTGTCATCTTCTGATGCCCGGCCTTGCCCAGCATATATACTGACCTCCTGCATCTCTTGGAAGGCCTAGTCACCTTTTCTTCATCTCCTATTTGTTAATAAAAGGAAAGGAGAGCAATAAAGAAAAATAAGAAAAGAAAACTTAATTGAGAGTAGTTAGATGTTGGTCCCATTCTGGCTCTGCACAGGCTGCTGGACCCTGCAGCTAGGGACCTGATTGGGGATATCAATTCTTCCCAGCAGCATGTACTGGAGCATCCTGGAAGGAATGCAGTCTTCCAGCATGGGCTCATTGTCTGAGTCATGAGTCCCAAACAATATTCTGTGATAGTTCCTACAAAATATTCTCAATATGATTGCCCCTAGCCACCTGTGGCAATGGAGCCCTTAGAATGTGGCCAGACAAAATGAAGATATGATCTGAAGCCAGGTTTAAAGAGTTAGTACCAAAAATGCAGGAGAGCTCACTAATATGCAGCCACGAGCCATGAGATGACACTTCAGCCAATGATGGCCACACCTGCAATGGCTCTAAAACCTTATAAAGCGGTTAAAAGACTTTATAGTGGGATGGCCATTGTAATGTCAGAGCACAGTTCATTGCTCATGTGTGTGTGGTAGCATGTTTGTGGCTGCTTTGCCAGTCATATGAGGGAATGTCAGACCCAGCTATCTAATCAGTATGATAAAGCTTGAAAAGCTGGTAACTGGCTGTGTTCCTGGTTTGTGTATTTGCAATGCTTTTGATAACTATTCTGGAGCATGCCTACTTACAAAGAAAGACATGTGCTATGAAATTTCTGTGTGAGGCTGTAGTAGTTTTGTTCATAGGTGCTGGTGACTGCATCTCCTGAGTTTGTCCTTTCTCTGGTGCTTGATTTAATCTTGTGTTGTTTATTCATCATGACCCCAGAAATTATCACCATGTGCAAACACACATATGTGTATATTATCTATATAATCGCTACATTACCATGTAGCTTATTGTGTAATGGTTTGTGGAAGCACATTCTATAAAAGAATTGCCTAACTTTGCATTTCCCTTCATTAATGACTATGGGCATTTTATATTGGTCACACGTTGATAATATTTTTATATATTCACTTAAAAATAAGGTAAATCCCCATGTGTGTTTTTGTTCATTTTGGTACGTGTGTGTGTGTGTGTGTGTGTGTGTGTGTGTGTAGGCCAGAGGTCAACATCAGGGCTCTTATTTGATTGTTGTCTACTTTATTTGTTGATACAGTCTTATTGAACCAGGATTCAGCAGTTCACTAGGCTGGCTGGCCAATGAGTTTCAGGCATCCACCTGTCTCTATTCTCCCAAGGGTGTTGCTGTGTTTTTATGTGGATGCTGGGATTCTGAGCTCAGGTCCTCATGTCTGTGCCTCAGGGACTTTGCTGACATAACCATCACCAATAAAGTCTGTCTGTCTTTCTCTCTCTCTCTCTCTTTTTTTTTTTTTTTTTTTTTTTTTTTTTTAAAGACAGGGTCTCTATGTAGCCGTCCTGGAACACTGTATTGACCGGGCTGACTTCAAATTCACAGAAACCTGTCTGCCTCTGGCTCCCGAGTGCTGGGATAATATATGAAGTTAATTTTTAGCATTTTTATTATAAATTGTTGTTGTGGTGGTGGTGCTGCTGGGACATATGTGTGGAGTTTTGAGGGGGGGTTCTTCTCTTTCCTGCCACCATAGTCCTGGACCAAACTCAGGTGGCCGGGTTTGCACAGTGAGTGCTTCACCTAGTGAGCCCTCCTGCCAGGCCATCATCGGTTCTTTGTGTGCTTCAGTTTACTTTTGAATGGAGCTACCAGACAGTGTGAAATTACGAGGTGAGTCCTGTTTGATTTCCACAGACAGGCTGCTCTAAACACTCCCTAAACACTCACAGTCCCTAAAAATGCCTGTCTCAGATCTGGGCACTCAGCAACATGGTGATTGGTGTCAAGTTCAAGAAGAAATGCAGACAGGGACTGGAGAGGTGGCTCAGAGGTTAAGAGCACTGACTGCTTTTCCAAAGGACCGGGGTTCAATTCCCAGCACCCTCACACGGACCTACATGGGAGGCAAAACACCAATGTGCATAAAATAAAATTAATTTCTAAATTATAGTTGCTTGTGTTTGAGGATCACAAACAGAGTTACCTACCACTAGAGGCTGGGTTTTGTTGCAGCTGGTGATGGAGCGCTGAGGTTTTTCTCTCATCTTTGTGAAATGGAGAGGAATTTCTTAGTTACTTTGATCAGCGAAGCATTTAAGCCTGTTTCTTTGTGAGATCAGTGTTCAGCGGCTTAAATCCCAGCAAAACCCTTAGTGAGAGCACTTACTACACATACCAGAACAACACCTGAGCACACACCTTCATGGGGTTCTTCCATAGCAAGCCAGAAACTAGGCGGGTGCCGAGATGCCTTTGGCTAACAGGAAACAAAGCCACAAATGCAGAAAAAACACGAGGTAGTAACCGAATCGGGTGTCCCCCCTGTTTGTGCCTCTAATACTAGTGGTTTGGTGCTTCATTTTTAAGGAATGGTGGATTCACTTGTAAATCTGCATGTCCTACATCTTGAGTAAAGTGCCAGCGCAATCAGGCTTTCTCGTGTGAATTATTCATTGTAGGTGCAGGGGACATAGCTATTCCCTTCAAAGTTCTGCTGGCTGGTGGGGAGTAGCCCTGTGCACACTTTCCTTGCCATGTGTACTGGAATGTGTATGGTGTGTGTGTGTGTGTGTGTGTGTGTGTGTGTGTGTGTGTGTGTGCATATATAGGCATGTGTGTATATGTTTACATGTGTGCTTGTGGAGGTCTTCCTAAGATGTTCTCTGTAAAGAGTAAGGTTTTTTCCTGCCAGCCTGTACCCACCACGGCGCCAGCCCCAATTAACACACAGAGACTCTGTACTTGATATAATGCTGTTGGCCAGGTAATAGTTTCTTATCAGCTAGCTCTGTCTTAAGTATTAACCCATTTCTATTAATCTAAGTACTTCCACGTGGTCTCATCTTACCTGAGAGCGGGCTGGTGTTCTGCTCTCTCCAGTCTCCCTATGCTAACTCCTCCTTACTACTTCCTCGAATCCTCCTTGTTTCCTAGTCCCGCTTATCTTGCTTTCCTATTGGCCAACAGTGCTTTATTCATTAACCAGTATGAGAAACATATATACAGAATGACATCTCCCATCAGTTCTCCACTTTATTTATAGAAACCTGAGCACACTGATTTGGCTTAAAAAGCTTAGGGGTCCTGTTTTTGCCTCCCAAGGACTAGAATTACATGTAGACTTCCATGACTGCCCAACTTCCATGTGGGTTCTGGGGACCTAAACTCCAGTCCTCATGTTTGCATGGCAAGCCCTCTTTACCCACTGTCTTCAACCCTCAGTCGATATTTCTTAGTTATTATTACATTGCTTATTGGCTTAATTGTGTATATTCAGGTCAGAAGATAACCTGTAGAAATTGATTTTCTCTTTCCACCATGCTGGTCCTAGGGACTGAACTTAGGTCATGGGAAGCAAGCATCTTTATCTGCTGAACCATTTTATTATCCTGTCAGTGCGTGTTCTTACCTTGTGTGTAGCCTCAGGCTTCACCCCAAGCATCAAAACAAAACAAAACCAAAATAAAAGTACTTTGTAGAGCAACCAGCTCAGTTGGTAAGCTGTGTACATGGTAAACTGTCAGGTGGTATGTGTTTCTAGTCCCTGTGATGGGGAGGCAAAGATTGGGAGACTTGCCATGGCTTTCTGGACAGCCAGCTGCCTAAGTTTACTGTCTGTTGCTGTGACAGATACCAGGACCAAAAGCAACTAGAGTAGGAAAGGGTTAATTTATTTTACAGCTTATGGTCAATCATTGAGGAAAGTCTGGGCTGGAGCTAAAATAGAGTAGGAACTCTAGCAGGACGGGACCTCAAATGGAGAGGGTAGTGGAATGCTGCTTGCTGGCTTGCTCCTTAGCCGTTGCTCTATTAGATTCCTCATAAGGCTTAGGGCCATGTACATAGGATGGTACTGCCTACAGTGTGCTGGGTCTTCCTACATCAACTATCAGTCAAGAAAATGCTCCCACAAACATGCCCACAGGCCAATCTGATGCCCTACACACACAGTCCAGGGCCCCTCTTCCCACGTGGGTCAAGCTGACAACCAAAATGAACTAGTCTAGTCTACTTGGCAAGTTCCAGGTTGTGAGAGACCCCTCAACAGAGACGCAGTGCATAGTGATTGTCCTCTGACCTCCACATGCATGTGCACTCCGGTGCACAAACATAACATGTGCACAGAACAACAGCCAGAGAGAGTGCCCTGAATCTCAGTAAGGACTTCAGACTTGTGGACTGTTAAGACACTGGAACTGAGTGCTGTGAGCATATACAGGAAGGGTTAGTTGTGTTGAACCAAGTGGATGTTTAGCTCAAGATACAGGGCTCTGGGCGCATTTTGATAAAGAAGCTCTTTCTATCTTAAATGCAGGAGTTTGATGGAGTCAACCAAGATTTTTCTTGCTCATATGTTCTAGTTATTGTGTTAGGTTTTATAGGCTTCAAGATTATCGATCAGTGTTAGTCTGCCAGATCACACACAATAGACCATATTATAATGTTTTTAGCCCCCTAGCTTATTCACTGATGGCAGAGTGGGACTTCCTGGTCCTGGTCCACAATAAACGCTGTTCAATAACAGCTGCTCTGTTATAAGGGGTTGGGCTAAGAGCCTTTCCCCCTCCATGCAGTCCCCGTTATACTTACACTACTGGGCACTGGTGGGTACAGCATTCCTCATGTGACTTTGGCCACTCACTATCCCTCCAACTTCTCTCTAGCTCAAGAGGGCCAGCAGTGAGGACATGCTCAACAAACCTGGAAGTACCTCAGTGGGGACAGTGCGCCTGAAGAAGACCTCAACCTCTGGAGCCATCTCCGAGCTCACCGAGAGCCGCCTGAAAGGCAACACAGGTAGGAAGGGCCTCGGTGGAAGCTCCATCCCTCCCCTGATCACCCTGGCCTGGAGCTGATCAGGGGCACAGTCTGTAGAGTCTGGGGAGACAAGTGTACAGCTGGAGAGACTGGGGGAGAACAGAAAGCCATGGTTTGCCGTGTCACCCCAGGAGTCCACTTGTCTGTCACCCGTGTGTGTGGAATCCTTTCGGTAATGTGGTGTAGCTCTAGAGTCATCCTGGGTGAGGGCAACAGATGGCAGTGGTCGTGGGAAGGCCCAAGATGAGGAACAGTCTTCCTTGATCATGATGGTTGTTGATGGGCGTGACACTACCACTTGTCCACACATTTCACAAAAGCATCACATTCCAAAGATACATTTTTATTTGTTTGACCTTTAAGAAGTTTAATGTGAGGACTGGATGCAAGGAGAAGAGCCTGTGTTTCTGTACCATGACTTAGCTTTCTAAAGACTGAATTCCTACTAAATACACCAAATGAAAGTAAAGCTTATTTTCACCAAGCAAGCCTCTACTACTGATTCCAAAGTTAACAGATGCAACTAAAATTAATTAATTAAAATGTAACGTGAGCTTTATCCATGACATTAATGGAAAAATGAGATATTAAAATGTTAGCAAATGCTGTCCAAGAAAATGTAAAAGGACAGTGCCAGACAGTATAACCAAATGAAGTTGTGCCATCTAAGAATAAATAGGGGCTCGGAAGATGGTTGAATAGTTAAGAGCACTTGCTGCTCTTCCAGAGGACCCAGGTTCAGTTCAGCACTCACATAGTGGTTCACAACTGTCTGTAACTCTAGTTTCAGGGGATCCAGCTCTCTCCTGACCTCCATAGGGATTGCAGACACGTGATGCACAGACACACTTGAGGGCAAAACATTCATACCCATAAAATTAAGCCTTTTTTAAAATGAGTAAGTGAATGAATGCTATCATATGCCAGCCAGGCATATCATAGGCCCAAGAAAAACCACATGGTCATCTTGATAGATATGGGCAATGGAACTGTCGGAATGAACCAGCATTTTATTCTGGTTTGGTAACAAACTCTTGACAGATGATGAGTGTGGGACGGGGGTCACCTCTAGCAAAGAAGTATGTCATCTTGCTGCACTCAGCAGCACATGGCTGTGGTCCCAGATACTCAGAGATGGGAGTGTCACCTGAACCCACAAGTTCAAGGCTAGTTAAGAAAGACAGAGGCTTCATCTCAAAACCTAAGTAAATAACACTTGGAAGGTGGAGGCAGGAGAATCGGGAGTTCAAGCCAGCCTAGGCCCCATGGTGCCTCGTGTGAAAGAAAAAGATTGAATTGTTCTCTGATCAGTGACTGGTTAGAAAATATAATATTGGAAGGAATGATATCATGTACCTAAGGATGTGGAGTTGGACATGGTGGCACACTCCTTTAATCCCAGCACTTGTGAGACAGGCAGATCTCAGTGAATTTGAGGCCAGCCTAGTCTACAGAGGGAGCTAAGACAGGGCTACACACAGAGAGCTCCCCTCTCCAACAAACAAACAAAAAGAAGAAAGAAAGGAGAAACACTCACTTAGCAATAAACTTAGTTATGTAAGAGCCTATATATTAAAAGAAATTTAACACCCTTCTGAAGGACACATCTATGTCCTTGTGAATAAATGGGAGGAAATGTGTGGGTTTGGGGTAGGAAGATTAAATATAGTGAAAACTAAATTCAGTAGTGTCACATATTAAATGTAATAAGGGTGTCTAAATTATTCCATCAGTTCATTTTTGTTCTAATTAGCATATCAGTGTGGAACTGGAGCGACCACGTGAGTAAAATGATACTGAGGACTCAGTTGTCAGCCAGCAAGCACTAAGCACAGGGGAAGGCATTTTGGGTTGTCCGGACTGGGAGGTTATACTTCCACCTAGTGGATAGCAGGCAGAGATGCTGCTAGTTAGAGACTGCAGGACTGCACCTGAGTGTCCCACCTGACTGGGTAGACTTGCTGCTGGGAAGCCCTGATCTAGGACCCTCCCAGGACAGCCAGGGACATTCTGAAGAGGAGCAATCAAAGGGCTGACTGCAGCAAACAAAGGTAGCCCAGTGGAGCTTTTGGAGGAAGGCCAGGGTCCACACGCACATTTGGTACACAGTAAAGGCAGTTTGGGTCAAGTTGGAGCTTGCAAGTAAGAGGCTCTGAGTTCAATCCCCCGCACTGAAAAAAGAAATAAAGTAAGTTAAGTAAAAACTGGGTTACTCTGAGAGATAAAATTTGATCTCTTCGAACCAAAATAAGTCACGGGGATGTGGGAGGGCGAATGCTTGCTGTGCAAGCATGGAGACCTGCATTCCATCCTTAGTGTCCATGGGCGAAGCAAAATGAGGCAGTGCTTACTGTTACGTCAGCCCTGGGGAAGTGGAGACAGGTGGGTCTCCTCGGCTTACTGACCAGCCCCTGTCTCCCAAAAGGAGGTGGAGAGAGATCTCAGGAGACATTCAGTGTTGACCTCCACATCAACATCCGTCATCTGTACATATGATAGCACAATACTCGAGTGAACACGCTCACGCACACACACATACACATGCATGCATACAAACATATACAACCCATATATACTTGTACATACATAGATAAAAGTTTTAAAAATAAAGAAGACACCAGAATTAACCTGTAGTAGGAACAAAGAAAATGAGTGGTGTTCCATCCTTAAAAAAATCTCCGAAGGGCGCTAGAGAGATGGCTCTGCAGTTAAGAGCACTTGCTCTCTCAGAGGACCTGGGCTCAGTTCCCAGCGCCCACATGATGGTTCTCAGACATCTGTAACTCCAGTTCCAAGGGATTTGACATATTCTTCTGTCCTCCATGAGCACCGGGAACACACATATATGAAGGTGAATACTCATACATGTAAAATAAAAATAAATACCCTTCAAAGATGCTAAAGGGGTTATTTACAATATATGCAAGTTTACAAAACTATTCAAACCCAGAAGGAAAACTGTAGAGCAATATGTAGTTCGTGTAAAAAGATATAGACATGCCATAGAAAAAATAGTAAATTTCACTTATCGCTGAGCAGCTATTGATCAGAACAATAATTCTATATATGGCACCCCCAAAGTCAAAAAATAAAAACAGGCAATCATCAATATTGTTACTATGGGTAGAAGGAGAAGACACACTATTTATGGACAGTTTGGACAACTTGGCAATACTTGAAGCTTGTTGGTTTGGTTGGCCAGCCATTGAGCCCCTATGACCCATCCTTCCTTCCTTCCTTCCTTCCTTCCTTCCTTCCTTCCTTCCTTCTTTCTTTCCTTTCTTTCTTTTGCTCTCTCTCTCTCTCTCTCTCTCTCTCTCTCTCTCTCTCTCTCTCTCTCTCTCTCTCTCTCCCTTCTCTTGAGACAGGGTTTCTCTGTGTAAACACCCTGGCTGTCCTGTAGACCAGGCTGCCCTCAGACTCACAGAGATCTGCCTGTCTGTGCCTTCCAAGGACTGGGATCAAAGGTGGCACCCCCCCCCCCAACCTCGGCACACTTGGCTTTCTTACGTGTGTTCTGAGGACCGAAACAGATCCTCATGTGTGTGTGGCAAGTACTTTACTGGTTTAGCCGTCTCTTTATCCCCCTAAATTTTAAATGTTTTAGGATGCGTTGGTATGTATTTGGTTCATTACATTACTATTACTGGTGCTGGAGCCAGAACCCCAGGGCTTTTCATATGCTGCGTGTTTGCTCTAGCACTGACTTACACCCCAGCCTATCTACTGTTGTGTTCAGAGTGTATGTGTGTGCATGCATGCGTGCGTGCATGCGTGCGTGCATATGTGCATGCATGCATACATGTGTGCATGAAGAACATCATCTTACATGCTGGCAAGACCTAATGCAATTCTCTGCAAGTTCATCTGTGAAGGGAAGCATCCAATTCTTGGAAGTCAAGAAATGCTGCCAGTATATCAGTCAAGTCAATAAATTACCTACATACAGACTCAGGGGAAGGAGTGTTGATGCCACTCAGACACAGGGTCTAAACTTTTGGATTGTTTTCACTGTTGCATAGAGAGTAGTGTTTTTTTTTTTAACTTCTTTCAAGAATATTATTCTTTCTCCTATTACTTTTTTCTTTCTAAACTATCATATATCACTGCTGTGATTAATGTTCATGGTCAAATCTGAATGCATTGGAATAATCTGATGTCTTGGGCTAAATAAAAATGGAGAAATGAGAAAGTGGGCTGAACTCCAGCACCTATCCCTCTGCTTCCTGAGTGCAATGTGCCCACCCCACACTGTGCTCACCATGCCTTCCTGCCGTGTTGGACTGTTCCCTCACACAATGAGCCAAAATACACCCTTCCTCCTTAAGTTACTTCTTGCCAGGACTCTTGTCACAGCGACAAGGAAAGCCATGAAAACAGATGCAGAGGCAGTTCATGTGTATCATGTGATCAGATATGTTCATTGACCTATTACCTGCACTGCCAATCATTTCTTTAGATTTGCCATGCATTGTGATTCTAAACCTACAATTAGCCAGTATACATCTCAAGCCCCTCACACTCAAATTTAACACCAACTTGACAACTCTCACATGGCAGGCAGGATGGTGGCTGCTTAAAATGGGACACATGGCCTCCCAGAGGCCTCCCTTCTCATTCCTTCAATGACTATGTCTAGTTTCCCCTGTGCCCTGGGGCACTGCCAGAGTTTGCTTCAACAAAACACAGTATCTTCTAGGTCAACTGCTCCACCTGCTGCTTGCCTGCTGCCCTGCTGCCCTGCCTGCCTCCGCTTGGTCCCTGGCCTTTCAAGCCTGTTGACACTTCCTCCTTGGACAGACTTACGGCTCTAACTGTTTCATTGACTCTGAACCATCACATCGATTGGGGTTTTTATCAGCCCTGCCCATGTCATGTCCATCCTGGGTGCTCACTTTTGGACTTTGTGAATAAGCCATGTCTTCTTCCTCTTCTCCCTGGGGTACACTTTATATGTGGGGGTGCCCTTTATATGTGCC